TGTACCGTGACCTCCCACAAGAAAGTAGAAAATCTGATTTATTTGCTTGCTGTGCTCTATCAATTACTTTGACCAAAATTAACAAACTCCTAAGTCTACACAGAAGGAATATCTGTTTGGTTCTCTTTTTATGCTTAGATCCTAAAATTATTTGCTCAGGGGTTCATGACAAAACAGGGACTTATCTCTGTAATAACTGTAGTTTTCCTGAGGAATCCCCCAAATTCCAAATATAGTTTAATGTGATGTTTTCTTAGTGTTGTTGAGGTGTTTAATTAATTTGATGATTAATGCTGAGCCCTGTGAATGTGACTTGGGAAGCAGCAACAACTTGGTCTTCCCTGGTGACCTTCACCTCCAAGCACTGCTGTTTACCCGCATCCAAAGGCAGGATAATGACAGGCACGTCAGGAGTTCTGGGCCTTTCTCTAAATTTCGAATATCAAAGCCTTCATTAATACTTATTAAATATTTCCCTGCACAAAGAGATTTATTATTTGAACGTCAATGCCACCTTGCTACGCCCGGTTATGTAAGAGCCGCTCTAAAAACGTGTATCGGGCTGTGCTGTTTCTGTGCTTTATTAACTCGTAATTTATAGCTTCACAACTGGGGCTCTGGGGGTTTTTTCCCTCTGAAATGCGTTGTGTACATACCATTTCGGTGCTCACAGGCCAATTTTCCGGCTGAATCAATGCCGGCCCCAAATCAAAGGAATGGTCTGTCCCCCTGTGCCAGTCACCGGGAACGTCGGAGGGGTCGGAGCTGCCTCCCGGCTCAGTAGAGGTGTGGAACACGAGAGAAGCTGAGGTTGGGCTTCCCTTCCACGGCTGTTTCAGGGGGAAAAAATGCCCAGCGAAGCACGTGGGCCGACACTGCCCAGCGAGGCTGCTCCTCCAAGGGCGCTGCGTGTGGAATTCCGGAGTCTTTGCATATTCCGGCGACCTGTCGCGGTCCCGAAGAGCCAATTCAGCAGGATGATACCAAGGCTTAATTGCCCCGAGTAGCTGTGAGATGAAAGGGACCTGCAGGGGTGTAGCCCGGACCAATAATCAGAAACCCTGTGGAGGAGCGGGATATCAATGGGAAGGAGTCATGGGGGAGGCAAAAAGGGGTTGGTAATTGGAGCTGACCCGGGCTGGGGCGGGACTGGGCGCTCTATAAAAACCCTGCACAGCCGAAAACAGGCACTCGCTTCTCCTGCTTTATCCTCCTTGGACACTTGGGTAAGTCGGAATAGATTTAGGAAATTTTGGTGAATAGTGAAGAGATGTATTTGTTACTATTTCCCCTCCTTTCTTTTCTGCCCATCTACAAGATAAAGGCATTGGGAATGAAGGCTGGGATTTGATGAGGGTTATTCGTATGTAAAATAGCCTTTCCTCCCTGGATTTTAATTAATATTTGAGCGTTCTGCAGGCATCCTCTTTTCCCCTGAAGTCTTTGTCTCGGTACAAAGCCTGTGGAGGGTTTTCGGTTTATTCCCTCACAGCTCTTTAGACGCAGAGTCACGGCTCGCAATCCCATTTCCCGGGGGTGCAATCAGTGAGGCTGGGAAGGCTCGGGATGGAGGATTAGGGGAGAGACCCGGCTTTACAAATCAGGAGGGAGCAGCAGAGGAGCGCAGAGGGAGCCGGGCAGTGGGTTTGCTGCACGTCCTCGGGGTTCCCTCGCCCTTCAGCTCGCACCTCACCGGCTTTTTCTTCCCTGCTCCGTTCCAGGCTCGCCTCCCTCCACCCAGCCAAGATGACTTTCTACTACCAGCGGCAGTGTGAGGACTCCTGCTACTCCCCCTGCAGCTCGGGGGCCGTGTACAGCTACCGGAGCTGGGACTGCGGGAGCCCCTGCTGGTCCCAGAGCTACCAGTGCGGGGGCCGCGACTGCTGCCCCTCCTACAGCGGCCGCTACTGCTCCCCCTACTCCCGGTACAGCCAGAGGTACAGCTACGGCAGCTGCTACCCCTGCTACCGCTGCTAGACCCAGAGATTGAACGGGAAACGACCACCGGAATCGAGGAATTCGCGGCTGATTTTCGGCGGAGCTTTGCGGGAGCTCCGGGACTGCGAAAAGCTGCAGGACTCGGAGAGCTCAGTCTTCCCGTGAAGCTTCAGCCTTCCTCCCAAGCGTTTTGTCTCCCTTTTTCTCTGCCGGTTTCTTAGCCCTGCCCGGGTTTGGTGGTGTGAAGGACCCCGGGTTTAATGTTGGTTAATTCGGGTGAACGACTTAACTCATTTATAGCTCTTTCCCGGCTGATTTTAATGAAATCTAGAGTGTGCCTGTACGAGCCCTCCTAGGGATGTTTTTCTACCTTAACTGCCTTTGAAACTGCACCAAAGAAACACTAATTCGTCTAATCAGGTTTGTTTCATTCGACTTGAAGCAAGTGGAAAGGTTTAAAAAGGCAATTTGGCAGTAAAATGCTCCAGCAAAATTGTTCCAATGAAACCGGGAGATTTTCTGCAGATATAAATTCATGTTGTACCCATTTCTTTCTTCTGCTTTCTGTGCTATTTTAGATTGTGAGCTTCATTCTTATTAAAAATGTTACAGCATCATTACATGTCCCTGGTTTTCTTTTTTCTGACTTGGATATACACAGATTTTTGTCCCCAGCTTGATGTTTTAGGAGACACACAGCACCCTGTGGCTCTTATGAAACTCATTTTGAGCTCAGCTGAACCTGAGCGCACATTTTGCAAACTAATAACCCAGTAGAACCTCAAAAAAAAATGAAGTCGCCGGTTCTGGAATTTCCTAGGAAGGGTTTGGAAATATTTTTTTCAATTTGCTTCAGCATCACAGCTCTGCCATTGGACATAAGAACAACCCCAGAATTACTGGGGAGTAAGACAAGATGTTGGCAGAAAATTCCTCTTTCTCTTGTGTTTTTTGTTTTTGCTGGCAGTGTCTGAGCTTTATCCAGCTTTCTGGATTTAGAGACCTGATGTGTTAGAGAGCAGAAAATTGCACTTTCCGTTCGCCTCATTAAGTGCTGCTCAGGACAAGTGTTTGCGAGCGTCGCTTCAAGTGCTCCATTTGAATGACAATGAAATGGTGCGAAGTTCCCAGGCTGTGGAATCACGCCGGTGTCATTGAGGTGAGAGCCCTTGACGCAATTCCAGAGGGACTCATTACTCCTGACTGAAGTGCCCAAATGGCAGCAATAACCTGTTAATAGCGCGATGCTGTCCCAGAGTCTGGGCACAAAGAGCTGGTGAAGAGCTTCGAGAGCCCCATCGACCCCTCGAGCCCCTCCTGGGAGTGGAATCGCCGCCCTCTGAACACGCAGAGGGGATTTCACAGAATCCCAGGATCCCACAGTGGCTTGGAAGGGACCTCTGGGGTCCACGCAGTGCAAGGCAGGGTCACCCAGAGCAGGTGACACAGAGACACGCCCAGGAGGGGTTGGAATGTCCCCAGAGAGGAGACTCCACACCCTCCCTGGGCAGCTGGTCCACCCTCCGTGGAAAAAAGTTCTGCCTCGTGTTGAACTTCTTGAGGTCTAGTTTGTGGCCATCACTCCTTGTCCTGTCACTGGGCACCACTGGGAGGAGTCTGGGACCATCATCTGCCACCCCTTGGAGATATTTGTGTGGCTGGGTGGGATCCCCTCTCAGATGAGAGGTTTGTGTGGATATTTGATATATTTGTGTGGATAGAAGGGATCCCCTCCCAGCCTTCTCTTCTCTGGACTAACCAGGCCCAGTTCCCACAGTCTCTGCTCATCAGAGATGCTCCAGACCCCAAATCATCTTTGTGGAAGAAAGAAATCCAAATTTCGAGGATGAGGAGGCAAAGGAGGCAGTTTTAGGGTCTCTCGTGGTTGTCTGTTTAGAGCCACATCTGAATGAAACATTTGAAGGCTATAAAATCCCATTCTGACTAAAGCAAACATTGAAATGCCCCAACACGCACCTTTGAAGTGACTGTTTTTCAATAATGAAGCACCTGAGAAGAGAATTAAGCTTTTAATAGACTAATAACACACTATAAATATATAAAATAGTTACGAGCGTCTGAGAGGTGCTTTGAACTTCTAAAATTATCTACCGTGGAAAAAGGTGAAGACATTTTGTATTTCTGCTGGAGAAAAGGACCAAAAAAGGAATAAATGAATGAACTGATGCTTTTCCCTTTAAACCTGTCCCTTAGAATGGGGGTAATAACTTGTTTGCATCCATTGTGTGCTACAACACAGGGGTGTCTATGAGCTGTTGAGTGTCTCACAAACCCTGTTCACCAACTAATGTGACTTGAGCTTCATGATCAACATCATCTCAGAAGGAATTTCCTCCTGGAAAGGGTTTTCAGGCCTTGGCAGGGGCTGCCCAGGGAGGTGGGGGAGTGCCCAGCCCTGGAGGTGTCCAGAGAAGGAGTGGCCGTGGCACTGAGTGCTCTGGGCTGGGGCCAAGGTGGGGATGGGGCACAGGGGGGACGGGATGATCCTGGAGGTCTTTTCCAACCACAAGGATTCTGGGACTCTGTGAACATGTCCCTGCTCAATGTGGAAAATCAGAAGAGCAAACTCATAAAAACCAACCAAAAACCAAGTTACTGCAGCAAAGTGAAGTTTTAATGTGGATGGAAAATGCAACAGACAGTGTCAGCAAGACACAAACCAGCACAGGAACAAGGGACTGGAAACACAAAAATCCTAAGGCAGCAGCAAGGCCCAACCCAGGGCTCCACCCCAAAGACTCCCCCTTCCTCTTGCAGGCTGGGGGTCTCCGAGCTGGGCAGAGCAGGGCAGAGTCTCATCCCAGGGTCAGAAGAGCTTTGTTGGGTGGCAGGGAGAGGGGAGCTTTTGGGGGCAGTGCTGGAAACCCCCAAGCCACCAGCTGAGGGTCTGCAGGGTCACCCTGTGCAAAGAACAGGGACCTGCTGCTCCAGCCTAAAGAGGGGCTGGAAGCTTCATCCTGGCTCAGGTGGGAGAAGCAAAGAGGGGCTGGTTGTGGAGCCCCAGGGCAGAGGCAGCACTGCCCTCCCTGCATGTTTGGGGTTTAGCAGGAGCCACAGCTGCCACGGCCCCAGCCACGGCCCCAGCCCCCATAGCCACAGCCCCCATAGCCCCCATAGCCCCCAAGGCCTCCATAACCCCAACCCCCATAACCCCCATAGCCCCCATAACCATAACCCCCATAGCCATAACCCCCATAACCCCCATAGCCTCCGTAGCCCCCACGGCCTCCAAAAGTGCCCCCGTAGCCCCCTCCAACGCCGGGGGCTCCTGCTGAGCCAACCACGCTCTGCTGGGGGAAGGAGCTGAGGATGGGCCCGGGGAAGGTGACCACTGAGGCCGGGGGCTGGATCACCACCGTGGAGTCGGGGCACTGCCGCACGCAGGGCTCGTTGCACGTGTCAGCCAGAGGGGCCGGGGTGGCCACCCCACAGGAGGGGACACACAGGCTGCCACAGGACATGGTCACACAGACAAGAAGACCTGCAAACACACCAGGGATCAGGCCAAGGTATGAGGAAGGGGTTGCACAGAAGGAGGAAGGAGAGATCCCCAAGAGGTTTTGGAGAGCTGGACTTACCCGGTTGCTGAGGAGAGTCAAGTGGAGGGATGTGGATAGAGGTCTGCAAGGAGCTCAGCTCTTTTATACCTGTCCCAGGGTGCCTGGGGCATTGTCCAGGGAGTGGGGGCCCAAACCCCAGATAATCATGAAATCCAGGGGAGAAGCTTCATGATGCAAGACAATTATAGGTCATCCCCTCACGGGGACATTGACATGGGAGGGACAGAGCGTGGCACATCATCACATGAAAGACAAGGCAACTTAAGCCCCAATAAACCCTGATTGGCCCCTAATCTCTCCCTTTGCTTACACAGAACAATCCCGGGCATCCTGTGGGACATTGCAGTGCCCAGGGACAGCACACTGAGCCACAGCCCAGCCCTGCACGTGAGCCCTCAGTGCCCAGCCAGCCTGTGCCCACGGGACCATGGGCACGTGCAGCCTGGCTCTCTGAGGCTGCTCAGCCAACATCTCCTGGCACAGCCCTCCATGCTGAGCAATCCAAGCCCCTCACAGAGGCTCGGGCTGGACCGTGCCCACAGCCAGGAGCTGAGGAGCTCACAGTCCCCTGGGCCTCTTGCTGCCCCTCTGCTCCTCCACTTGTGTCCCCGCTCCCGCAGCTCTCCCGAGCTCTGTCCCACTGCTCTCCACAGCCCCTCTGTGCTTGGGGCTTTGCCACACGTGGGACCCGTCTCCTCTGCTCTTTGCATGGCCAGCAAGAGAAACATGGACCTAAAATCCCAGTGTCTCCAGAACCTTAGAGGAGGGAATTCACAGAGATGTCGGGGGACCCCCAGACCATGAGATGAGCAGCTTGTGCTGGCAGTGGGAGCTGATGGGTCTTTGGGAGTCACCCCGAGCTTGGAATGGCTTCTCCTTTGCCCAACCTGCTGGTGCCTCTGTTTACCAGCCCGTAAAAGGGAGGTAATGACAGGCGTGATGGCTGTGACAGGATTTCAAATGCTTCTGAGAGATGCCTGGAATTCTTCTCTGTAAGCAAACTGTGGGATTAGGGACAAATCAGGGTTTATTGGGGCTGTGAGTTGCTGCAGCACCTTGTCTTTCATGTAATGATGTGCCACAGTCTGTCCCTCCCATCACCTCCTTCCGCTCCAGGGCACGTTTGCACACCAACATCCCCAGTGAGGGGATGACATATAACATCATCTGTGTCAGGAAGGTTGTCAGCTTGAATTCCTAATTACCTGGGGTTTGGGCCCCTACCCCCTGGACGATGCCTGGGGCATCCTGGGACAGGTATAAAAGAGCTGAGCTCCTTGCAGACCTCTATCCACATCCCTCCACTTGACTCTCCTCAGCAACCGGGTAAGTCCAGCTCTCGCAAACCTCTTGGGGATCTCTCCTTCCTCCTTCTGTGCAACCCCTTCCTCACACCTTGGCCTGATCCCTGTTTTGCAGAACTCCTTGTCTGTGTGACCATGTCCTGTGGCAGCCTGTGTGTCCCCTCCTGTGGGGTGGCCACCCCGGCCCCTCTGGCTGACACGTGCAACGAGCCCTGCGTGCGGCAGTGCCCCGACTCCACGGTGGTGATCCAGCCCCCGGCCTCAGTGGTCACCTTCCCCGGGCCCATCCTCAGCTCCTTCCCCCAGCAGAGCGTGGTTGGCTCAGCAGGAGCCCCCGGCGTTGGAGGGGGCTACGGGGGCACTTTTGGAGGCCGTGGGGGCTACGGAGGCTACGGGGGCTATGGGGGTTATGGGGGTTATGGCTATGGGGGTTATGGAGGTTATGGGGGCTATGGGGGCTATGGCTATGGGGGCTATGGGGGCTGTGGGGGCTCCAGAGGTGTCGGCACCTGCGATTTCGGGGGCTGGCGCAGTGGCCACAGGTACCTCAGTGGCAACTGCGGGCCCTGCTAAGCCCCAGCCCGAGCCCAGCCACAGACCCAGAGGAGCTCCAGCAAACCCCCCGGCACATCCCGACACGGCGCCTGGAGGAAGGACACCCCTCTGGCATCACTGGGCTCCAGAGCTCGGGCACCTCGTGCCTGCCCGGGGCCCAGCTCTGCCCCTTTGCTGCTGTGCTTGAGCCTCCCCTCAGGACCCGCTGCCTCCTCCCGGCACAGCCCCGGGCTGGGCTCCTGATCCCGCTCCTGCCGGGGGCTCGGCACAGCTCTGCCCACTGCCAGGAGCCAGGGGAGCCCTTGGCCAGGGCCCTGCTCTTCTGCCAACTCCCTCCTCCCCTCCAACTGCAATAAAAGCTGTCTTTGCATCGCAATGTTGAGCCCTGGTTTCATTTGCTCTGTCCTCCACACCCAGTCCCCCAGTGGCACCAGGGCTTTCCACGAGTGTCCCAGCAGCTCCCGCTCGCTGAATTCTTAGGAGAACATGTGGGAGCTGCCAGGCTTCCTCCTGCCTGTCCCTGGCCATCCCAGCCCTCTGCAGGACAGGCCCCACAGCCAGCACCATCAGCATCTCCCTTTGCAGCAGCTTCTCCCTGTTTTCCCTTCCCATCTCCTCCCCACTTTGGGCTCCTGCACTCTGCAGCCCAGCCAGAGCTCCTGGGCCACACAGGCAGTTCCCTGCCCACTCTGGACATTCCCAGTGGGCTGCCTGAAGCCCTGGGCTCTGGGGATTGGAACACAAATGGAATCACTCCAACAGACACAGCCCAGCTCAGAGTCACTTGGGAGGCCATGGGTAGATATGGGAGAGGGTGAACAACCCCCACACCTCCCCAACTCCTTTGCCTCCATCCTCTCCAACATTCTTGCACCTCCACACCACCTCCCTCTCCTTTTCTTACTGTGGGTTCCACTGCTCCTTGGAGCACTTCTGGCTCTGTCTTGCCTTCACAAGTCCTTCCTGGGATTCCCTGTGTGCCCCACACTTCCCCTGAGGACACGGCTCAGCCCAGGAATGGCAGGAGAGCTTCCCACAGCCCCGTGCTCTGGACCAGACCCTGCTGGGCCTATGTGGCCTTTGAACCTATGGAGTCTGCCTGGCCAAGCGGGACTCGAGGGTCCATGGGGCCTGGGGGGCCTGGGAGCACTATGGGGCTGATGGGGAGCACTGTGGGGCTGATGGGGAGCACTATGGGGCTGATGGGGAGCACTATGGGGCTGAGGGACCTCTATGGACTATGGGGCTTCTTTGGCACATCTGGAAGGGAGTGACCTCAGCAGGGTGGGCAGTTTGAGCCAAGGGTGGTGGGCACTCCAACCTCCTGCTCCAAGAGCTTTGACCTTCATGAGACTGAATAGCTCAGGACATTTCATGGCCCTGAGAGGAAACTTGGCCAGATTTGGCTGGATCTGTCTCACCACCATCTGTCTCACCAGTGACCACCATCTCCAGCTGGGAACACGGACATGGCCAGAGACCCTGGACATGCACTTGGTCACCCCTCCATTTCCCTGGACCTCCAAAGGTGACCAACACGAGGCTGATCGGAGGAGGTGGTGCCAGGCAAGCTGGTTTGGCAGAGGATTTGGAAAAGTTTTTGTAAGACACCCCTGGCACTTTCCCATGGTCAGGGTGAGCTTTGGGAATGTCTCGTGTCTCTCTGTGGTGGGACAGCAGGGGAAACTCGGTGGGATGTGCCACCCCAGAGCCTGCTGGGATGGTCTTCATCATCTGCAACACAGGGACCAAAGTGCCCAAAGGCTCCAAGGGCACTGGCGTGGGAGATTCCAGCAGCCAGCCAGACCCTCCCCGAGATTTGGGGGAAGTGGGAAACAAGGAAGGATGAATTAAAACCAGAGGTCAACATTGCAATGCAAGACAGCTTTTATTGCAGTTGGAAGGGAGGAGGGAGCTGGGACAAGAGCAGGGCCCTGGCCAAGGGCAGCCCTGTCTCCTGGCAGCGGGCAGAGCTCCGAGGAGCCCCAGGCGGGCACAGGAGCAGGAGCCAGAGCGAGTGTCTGTCAGCAGGGCCAGGGGGCTCTGGGGGGGCTCAGGCGGGGCAGCAGGAAGGCAGAGCTGGTTCCCAGGCAGGCACGAGGCGTCCAGGCTCTGGAGCCAGCGATGCTGAAGGGCTGGTTTTCCACAGAGGGTCGTGTCGGGATGTGCCAGTGGCTCTTCTGGAGCTCTCCTGGCTCCGTGGCCGGGCTCGGGCTGGGGCTTAGCAGGGCCCGCAGTTGCCATTCAGGTACCTGTGGCCACGGCGCCAGCCCCCGTACCCACAGCTGCCATAGCCCCCATAGCCTCCCCAGCCCCCAAGGCCTCCATAGCCATAACCCCCATAGCCACAGCCCCCATAGCCCCCAAGGCCTCCATAGCCATAACCCCCATAGCCCCCAAGGCCTCCATAGCCCCAACCCCCGTAGCCACCAAGGCCTCCATAGCCCCAACCCCCATAACCATAACCCCCATAGCCCCCGTAGCCTCCGTAGCCCCCACGGCCTCCAAAAGTGCCCCCGTAGCCCCCTCCAACGCCGGGGGCTCCTGCTGAGCCAACCACGCTCTGCTGGGGGAAGGAGCTGAGGATGGGCCCGGGGAAGGTGACCACTGAGGCCGGGGGCTGGATCACCACCGTGGAGTCGGGGCACTGCCGCACGCAGGGCTCGTTGCACGTGTCAGCCAGAGGGGCCGGGGTGGCCACCCCACAGGAGGGGACACACAGGCTGCCACAGGACATGGTCACACAGACAAGGAGTTCTGCAAAACAGGGATCAGGCCAAGGTGTGAGGAAGGGGTTGCACAGAAGGAGGAAGGAGAGATCCCCAAGAGGTTTGTGAGAGCTGGACTTACCCGGTTGCTGAGGAGAGTCAAGTGGAGGGATGTGGATAGAGGTCTGCAAGGAGCTCAGCTCTTTTATACCTGTCCCACAGTGCCTGGGGCATCAGGAAAGGGAGTGGTGGCAAAAACTTCAGGTAATTAGGAATTCAAGCTGACAAGCTTCATGATAAATATAGTGATAGGAGACAATTATAGGCCTCCTCATGGGGGACACTGGTGTGCAAATGTGTCCTGGCGTGGAGGGAGGTGATGGGAGGGACAGACTGTGGCACATCATCACATGAAAGACAAGGCAACTTAAGCCCCAATAAACCCTGATTGGCCCCTAATCTCTCCCTTTGCTTACACAGAACAATCCCGGGCATCCTGTGGGACATTGCAGTGCCCAGGGACAGCACACTGAGCCACAGCCCAGCCCTGCACGTGAGCCCTCAGTGCCCAGCCAGCCTGTGCCCGTGGGACCATGGGCACGTGCAGCCTGGCTCTCTGAGGCTGCTCAGCCAACATCTCCTGGCACAGCCCTCCATGCTGAGCAATCCAAGCCCCTCACAGAGGCTCGGGCTGGACCGTGCCCACAGCCAGGAGCTGAGGAGCTCACAGTCCCCTGGGCCTCTTGCTGCCCCTCTGCTCCTCCACTTGTGTCCCCGCTCCCGCAGCTCTCCCGAGCTCTGTCCCACTGCTCTCCACAGCCCCTCTGTGCTTGGGGCTTTGCCACACGTGGGACCCGTCTCCTCTGCTCTTTGCATGGCCAGCAAGAGAAACATGGACCTAAAATCCCAGTGTCTCCAGAACCTTAGAGGAGGGAATTCACAGAGATGTCGGGGGACCCCCAGACCATGAGATGAGCAGCTTGTGCTGGCAGTGGGAGCTGATGGGTCTTTGGGAGTCACCCCGAGCTTGGAATGGCTTCTCCTTTGCCCAACCTGCTGGTGCCTCTGTTTACCAGCCCGTAAAAGGGAGGTAATGACAGGCGTGATGGCTGTGACAGGATTTCAAATGCTTCTGCGAGATGCCCGGAATTCTTCTCTGTAAGCAAACTGTGGGATTAGTGACAGATTGGGGTTTATTGGTGTTGCTGGTTCAGCTGTAGCACCTTGTCTTTCATGTAATGATGTGCCACAGTCTGTCCCTCCCATCACCTCCTTCTGCTCCAGGGCACGTTTGCACACCAACATCCCCAGTGAGGGGGTGACATGTAATTCTCTTGCATCACTATCTTTCTGATGAAACTTTGCTTGAATTCCTAATTACCTGGGGTTTGGGCCCCCACCCCCTGGACAGTGCCTGGGGCACCCTGGGACAGGTATAAAAGAGCTGAGTTCTTTGCAGACCTCTATCCACATCCCTCCACTTGACTCTCCTTAGCAACCGGGTAAGTCCAGCTCTCACAAACCTCTTGGGGATCTCTCCTTCCTCCTTCTGTGCAACCCCTTCCTCACACCTTGGCCTGATCCCTGTTTTGCAGAACTCCTTGTCTGTGTGACCATGTCCTGTGGCAGCCTGTGTGTCCCCTCCTGTGGGGTGGCCACCCCGGCCCCTCTGGCTGACACGTGCAACGAGCCCTGCGTGCGGCAGTGCCCCGACTCCACGGTGGTGATCCAGCCCCCGGCCTCAGTGGTCACCTTCCCCGGGCCCATCCTCAGCTCCTTCCCCCAGCAGAGCGTGGTTGGCTCAGCAGGAGCCCCCGGCGTTGGAGGGGGCTACGGGGGCACTTTTGGAGGCCGTGGGGGCTACGGAGGCTACGGGGGCTATGGGGGTTATGGTTATGGGGGTTGGGGCTATGGAGGCCTTGGTGGCTACGGGGGTTGGGGCTATGGAGGCCTTGGGGGCTATGGGGGTTATGGCTATGGAGGCCTTGGGGGCTATGGGGGCTGTGGCTATGGGGGTTATGGCTATGGAGGCCTTGGGGGCTGGGGAGGCTATGGGGGCTATGGCAGCTGTGGGTACGGGGGCTGGCGCCGTGGCCACAGGTACCTGAATGGCAACTGCGGGCCCTGCTAAGCCCCAGCCCGAGCCCGGCCACGGAGCCAGGAGAGCTCCAGAAGAGCCACTGGCACATCCCGACACGACCCTCTGTGGAAAACCAGCCCTTCAGCATCACTGGCTCCAGAGCCTGGACGCCTCGTGCCTGCCTGGGAACCAGCTCTGCCTTCCTGCTGCCCCACCTGAGCCCCCCCAGAGCCCCCTGGCCCTGCTGACAGACACTCGCTCTGGCTCCTGCTCCTGTGCCCGCCTGGGGCTCCTCGGAGCTCTGCCCGCTGCCAGGAGACAGGGCTGCCCTTGGCCAGGGCCCTGCTCTTGTCCCAGCTCCCTCCTCCCTTCCAACTGCAATAAAAGCTGTCTTGCATTGCAATGTTGACCTCTGGTTTTAATTCATCCTTCCTTGTTTCCCACTTCCCCCAAATCTCGGGGAGGGTCTGGCTGGCTGCTGGAATCTCCCACGCCAGTGCCCTTGGAGCCTTTGGGCACTTTGGTCCCTGTGTTGCAGATGATGAAGACCATCCCAGCAGGCTCTGGGGTGGCACATCCCACCGAGTTTCCCCTGCTGTCCCACCACAGAGAGACACGAGACATTCCCAAAGCTCACCCTGACCATGGGAAAGTGCCAGGGGTGTCTTACAAAAACTTTTCCAAATCCTCTGCCAAACCAGCTTGCCTGGCACCACCTCCTCCGATCAGCCTCGTGTTGGTCACCTTTGGAGGTCCAGGGAAATGGAGGGGTGACCAAGTGCATGTCCAGGGTCTCTGGCCATGTCCGTGTTCCCAGCTGGAGATGGTGGTCACTGGTGAGACAGATGGTGGTGAGACAGATCCAGCCAAATCTGGCCAAGTTTCCTCTCAGGGCCATGAAATGTCCTGAGCTATTCAGTCTCATGAAGGCCAAAGCTCTTGGAGCAGGAGGTTGGAGTGCCCACCACCCTTGGCTCAAACTGCCCACCCTGCTGAGGTCACTCCCTTCCAGATGTGCCAAAGAAGCCCCATAGTCCATAGAGGTCCCTCAGCCCCATAGTCCTCCCCATGAGTCCCCTAGTGCTCCCCATGAGCCCCACAGTGCTCCCCATGAGCCCCATAGTGCTCCCCATCAGCCCCACAGTGCTCCCAATGAGCCCCACAGTGCTCCCAGGCCCCACAGGCCCCCCAGGCCCCATGACCCCCGAGTCCAGCTTGGCCAAGCAGACTCCATAGGTTCAAAGGCTGCACAGGCCCAGCAGAGTCTGGTCCAGAGCACGGGGCTGTGGGAAGCTCTCCTGCCATTCCTGGGCAGAGCCATGTCCTCAGGGGAAGTGTGGGGCACACAGGGAATCCCAGGAAGGACTTGTGAAGGCAAGACGGGGCCAGAGTGGGCAGGGAACTGCCTGTGTGGCCCAGGAGCTCTGGCTGGGCTGCAGAGTGCAGGAGCCCAAAGTGGGGAGGAGATGGGAAGGGAAAACAGGGAGAAGCTGCTGCAAAGGGAGATGCTGATGGTGCTGGCTGTGGGGCCTGTCCTGCAGAGGGCTGGGATGGCCAGGGACAGGCAGGAGGAAGCCTGGCAGCTCCCACATGTTCTCCTAAGAATTCAGCGAGCGGGAGCTGCTGGGACACTCGTGGAAAGCCCCGGTGCCACTGGGGGACTGGGTGTGGAGGACAGAGCAAATGAAACCAGGGCTCAACATTGCGATGCAAAGACAGCTTTTATTGCAGTTGGAGGGGAGGAGGGAGTTGGCAGAAGAGCAGGGCCCTGGCCAAGGGCTCCCCTGGCTCCTGGCAGTGGGCAGAGCTGTGCCGAGCCCCCGGCAGGAGCGGGATCAGGAGCCCAGCCCGGGGCTGTGCCGGGAGGAGGCAGCGGGTCCTGAGGGGAGGCTCAAGCACAGCAGCAAAGGGGCAGAGCTGGGCCCCGGGCAGGCACGAGGTGCCCGAGCTCTGGAGCCCAGTGATGCCAGAGGGGTGTCCTTCCTCCAGGCGCCGTGTCGGGATGTGCCGGGGGGTTTGCTGGAGCTCCTCTGGGTCTGTGGCTGGGCTCGGGCTGGGGCTTAGCAGGGCCCGCAGTTGCCACTGAGGTACCTGTGGCCACTGCGCCAGCCCCCGAAATCGCAGGTGCCGACACCTCTGGAGCCCCCACAGCCCCCATAGCCCCCATAGCCATAGCCCCCATAGCCCCCATAACCTCCATAACCCCCATAGCCATAACCCCCATAACCCCCATAGCCCCCGTAGCCTCCGTAGCCCCCACGGCCTCCAAAAGTGCCCCCGTAGCCCCCTCCAACGCCGGGGGCTCCTGCTGAGCCAACCACGCTCTGCTGGGGGAAGGAGCTGAGGATGGGCCCGGGGAAGGTGACCACTGAGGCCGGGGGCTGGATCACCACCGTGGAGTCGGGGCACTGCCGCACGCAGGGCTCGTTGCACGTGTCAGCCAGAGGGGCCGGGGTGGCCACCCCACAGGAGGGGACACACAGGCTGCCACAGGACATGGTCACACAGACAAGGAGTTCTGCAAAACAGGGATCAGGCCAAGGTGTGAGGAAGGGGTTGCACAGAAGGAGGAAGGAGAGATCCCCAAGAGGTTTGCGAGAGCTGGACTTACCCGGTTGCTGAGGAGAGTCAAGTGGAGGGATGTGGATAGAGGTCTGCAAGGAGCTCAGCTCTTTTATACCTGTCCCAGGGTGCCCCAGGCATCATCCAGGGGGTGGGGGCCCAAACCCCAGGTAATTAGGAATTCAAGCTGCCAAGCTTCCTGACACAGATGATATGTCATCCCCTCATTGTGGGCACCTGTGTTCAAACATGCCCTGGACAAGAAGCAGGTGATGAGAGGGACAGACTGTGGCACATCATTACATGAAAGACAAGGTGCTGCAGCAACTCACAGCCCCAATAAACCCTGATTTGTCCCTAATCCCACACTTTGCTGACACAGAACAATCCTGGGTATCCTGTGGGACACTGCAGTGCCCAGGGACAGCACACTGAGCCACAGCCCAGCCCCGCACGTGAGCCCTCAGTGCCCAGCCAGCCTGTGCCCGTGGGACCATGGGCACGGGCAGGGTCCTAAAAGATGGCAGGAAATTGCAGCTTTCCCTGTGCACGACATGAGCCGTTCAGTTGTGTTGTTCACTGACTTTAAATGGATTCCTGCCACGATGGAGAAACTCAAATTGGATCCAACCCTGTGCCATGTGGTGTGGGATGACCCTCCTTGAGCAGGGAGGTGGGACCAGATGACCCACTGTGGTCCCTTCCAGGGAGTCTGTGGTCCTGCCACCTCCCCTGCCCCTGCCAGGCCGGGGCCACTTGGGAATTTGGGATCTGCCCTGGGTGAGTGGGATGGCTTCTTCCTCCTGCTTACCAGCTTGTAAAAGGGAATTAATGACAGATGTCTTGGCTGTGCCAAGGATTTCAAAGAGTTTCAGTGTGATGCCCAAAACTCTTGAGTGTAAGCAAAGCGGGGGATTAGGGACAGATCGGGCTTTATTGGTGCTGTGAGCTCAGCTACAGCAACAAATTATCTTTCATGTAGTGATTTGTCATGATCTGTCCCTCTCATTAGCTGTTTGCTCTCCAGGGTACGTTTACTCGTTAGTAAACCCAATTAGGATGGATATAATTGCCCTATACTGCCATTGTGTCATGAGGTTTGTCCACTTGATTTTATGATTAGCTGGGGCTTCTGCCAACACCCCCTGGCCGATGCCTCAGGCACTCCGGGACATGTATAAAAGAGCTGAGGGGTTCCCAGACCTCTATCCAGCTTCTCCACTTGACTCTCCTCATCAGCCGTCCTGGTAAGTCCATGTCTTACCTCCAGCTTTCTTTCCTCGTCCGTGGCTTTCTCAAGGGATCTTTGGCTCTGTGTTCCACCATTTCACAGTGCTGGGACTGGACCAGTGGACTCAAGTCCTTTGGGAGCTTGGGGATTTTCCATCTGCTTTGGAAATGCAGGAGCTTTTCCCCACTCCTGTGGGCAGTAAGAATGAGGGATCATGAGGGAACAAGGGATCTAATCAGGTGTTTCTCCCCTGGGGAAAGGGGTTTTGAATGCCTGAGATGATCCAGAGCATGTCCTGGGACACAGGTTCCAGGTGGGACAGAGCCAGGAGGGATCTGGGATCAGACCTGAGATCTGAGATCACAGAATTACAGAATGTGCTGATTTGGAAGGGACCCACAAGGACCATCCAGTCCAACCCTCAGCCCTGCACAGGCCCATCCCCAAGAGTCCCACCATGCACCTGAGAGATCCTCCAAACCCTCCTGGAGCTCTGGCAGCCTTGGTGCTGTGCCCACTGCCCTGGGGAGCCTGGGCAGTGCCCCAGCAGCCTCTGGGAGAAGAACCTTCTCCTGAGATCCAACCTGACCCTGCCCTGACACAGCTCCAGCCCTTCCCTGGGTGCTGTCCCTGGTGCCCCCAGAGCAGAGCTCAGTCCCTGCCCCTCCTCTGCCCCTGCCCAGGAAGGTGGAACTGCAGTGAGGTCTCCCCTCAGCCTCCTCTTCTCCAGCTGAACACACCAAGTGCCCTCAGTGCCCTCCCATGGCTTCAAATCAAGGCCCTTCCCCATATTTGCTGCCTCCTTTGGACACTCTCTAATGGCTTCACATTTTCTGCCCTGTTTTGCAGCTTTACCTCCTGAACCGAAGCATGTCCTGTGGCAGCCTGTGTGTCCCCTCCTGTGGGGTGGCCACCCCGGCCCCTCTGGCTGACACGTGCAACGAGCCCTGCGTGCGGCAGTGCCCCGACTCCACGGTGGTGATCCAGCCCCCGGCCTCAGTGGTCACCTTCCCCGGGCCCATCCTCAGCTCCTTCCCCCAGCAGAGCGTGGTTGGCTCAGCAGGAGCCCCCGGCGTTGGAGGGGGCTACGGGGGCACTTTTGGAGGCCGTGGGGGCTACGGAGGCTATGGGGGTTATGGGGGTTATGGCTATGGGGGTTATGGTTATGGGGGCTATGGGGGTTATGGGGGTTGGGGTTATGGAGGCCTTGGGGGCTATGGGGGCTATGGGGGCTGTGGCTATGGGGGCTGGGGCCGTGGCTGGGGCCGTGGCAGCTGTGGCTCCTGCTAAACCCCAAACATGCAGGGAGGGCAGTGCTGCCTCTGCCCTGGGGCTCCACAACCAGCCCCTCTTTGCTTCTCCCACCTGAGCCAGGATGAAGCTTCCAGCCCCTCTTTAGGCTGGAGCAGCAGGTCCCTGTTCTTTGCACAGGGTGACCCTGCAGACCCTCAGCTGGTGGCTTGGGGGTTTCCAGCACTGCCCCCAAAAGCTCCCCTCTCCCTGCCACCCAACAAAGCTCTTCTGACCCTGGGATGAGACTCTGCCCTGCTCTGCCCAGCTCGGAGACCCCCAGCCTGCAAGAGGAAGGGGGAGTCTTTGGGGTGGAGCCCTGGGTTGGGCCTTGCTGCTGCCTTAGGATTTTTGTGTTTCCAGTCCCTTGTTCCTGTGCTGGTTTGTGTCTTGCTGACACTGTCTGTTGCATTTTCCATCCACATTAAAGAATCTGCATTGCATGAATAATTTTTTTGTTATTAATTTGTTCTTCATCCGGGCTGGAATTATGTCTCTAACTGAGCAATGATATGAAATGTTAGATCATAGAATTACAAGATGGTTTGGGTTGGAAGGGACCTTAAAGATCATCTTGTTCCAGTCTCCCTGCTGTGGGCAGGGACACCTTCCACTAGATGGGGCTCCTCTGGGCAATCTGTGCCAGGGCCTCATAGGGAACAATTTCTTCCCAATATCCCATCTAAACTTCTTCTCTGTCGGTTTGAACCCATCCCCCTTGTCCTGCCACTCCAGGCCCTTGTCCAAAGTCTCTCTCCACATTCCTTGTAGCCCCTTCAGATCCTGGAAGGCCACAACTGGCTCACCTTGGGGCTTCTAATCTCCAGGCTGAACAATCCCAATTTTCCCAGCCTTTCCTGCCAGCAGAGCTGCTCCATCCCTCTGCTCAGCCCCTCTGGAGTGGCTCCAGCAGCTCCAGGTGCTCCCGGGGCTGTTCCCCAGCTCTGCTGGGGGGTCTCAGCTGAGGGGGCAGAGGGGCACAATCCCCCCCTGCCCACGCTGGGGGATCAGCCCAGGGTATGGGGGGCTCTGGGCTGGGTCATGTCCAGCCTCTCCCCCAGCAGCTCCTCCAAGTCCTTCTCCCAACAATGCCACCATGTTCCTGAGAGTGTTGTCCAAATGTTCCTTGAGTTCTGGCATATTTGGGGCCATGACCAGTGCCCTGGGGAGCCAATTCCAGTGCCCAACCACCCTCTGGGGGAAGAGCCTGTCCCTAATATCCACCCAAACCTCCCCTTTCGTTGTGGGGCACAGAAAACCAGCAGACATCTTTTGGTACAGAACATTTATTTGGAAAGAGGCAGCTTTCCTACAAATGTGGAACCAAACTGTACAGAACACAAGGATCACCTTTGCAGGGAGGCTCTGCTCAGTCACCAGCATCCAGGTGGTGCAGTCTGTGAAAAAGGGGCTCTCCCCTGCTGGCAGTGCTGCCCTGGGCAGCGCCGGGCACCCGGAGTCGCCTCCCCACGTTCAGTGCCCACAAAGCAACGGGAATAAGGCAAAGCACGACGGAAGCAACGACTACGCTGGAAACGTGGAGAGCAGCTCTAAGCTAAAGGCAGAACGAGACGGGGCCCGCGTGAGCCCGTCCCGGGGCTGGAGCCAGAGCCAGGGGTGCCTCCCAGCTCCACCCCAAACTTCCCTCCGGCCTTTCCTTCGCCGCCCCTTCCCCGGTCAGTGAGTCCAGCGCTTCCCGGAGCGGTAGGAATTGCAGGGATGAGTCCACTGGGAGGAGTAGGTGTAGGAGTACTTCGGGGCACAGCGGGGCTCGGGCCGGGCCAGCGCCTGGGCCGGGACCTTCTCGGCCGCCTCCAACCTGCCCGAGAGCTCCGTGGGCAGCGCGGCCGCGCCGGGCGGCTCCGCCAGGGCCACCTCCGAGGGCTCCGAGGCTCCCACGACGGTCTGCTGGGGGTAGGTGGTGAGGATGGGCCCCGGGAAGGTGACCACGACGGGCGGGGGGTAGATGATGACCCGCGAGTCGCCGCAGGTCACCACGCAGGGCTCGTTGCTGCTGCTGGCCAAGGGCTGGGGACACTTGGCCTCGCAGGGGTTGGCACAGGCCAGCTGGGTGGACGTCATCTCCTGCAGGTGGGGAGTGCCTGGAACGTCACAGAACGTCCTGAGCTGGAAGGGACCCACCGGGATCATCCATCCAGCTCCTGGCCCTGCACGGACGCCCCAACGATCCCACTCCAGGTGCTCCTGGAGCTCCGGCAGGTTTGGGGCCGTGGCCATCCCCGTTTCACCCTCTGGGTGAAAACCCCTCTCCTAATACCCACCCTGAACCTCCCCTTTCACTGTGTGCCCGGGACTTCACAGAATCACAGGACATTCTGAGTGGGAAGGGACCCACAAGGACCATCGGGTCCCAGGAGAGAGTTTTAAAGCAGGCGACAGCTCTGAAAATGTCCCGGTTAAAAATGCGCTTTTCTGATTCAACTGAGAACTTTTCACCTTGGAAAATGAGCTTTTCACCTTAAAAACTTAGCTTTTCCACTCTATTAAATACTCTTCAATGCAGCCTGGAGATCCCTGCTGCTCACAAGTTAACAGTTTTGCCAGAAAGTCACCACTCACTTTGGAATAAAACAGAAGATGAAGCTCAAACGGCAGTTTTTGGCAGCAGAGAAGCCAAGAAGGAGGAGCTCTTTTAGAGATGGGTATGGGAGTCACAGGACTTAACTAAGGATGGGCTTAGGAGTAGAAAAAGATGCTTTCCCCCCTCCTTTTGATTTATTTGCAGAATTAAAAAAAACCACTAAAACCCCGAAGCAACAAAAATCCCCCCCACTTGGTTATCGACATTTTAGACAGAGATCATTTGGATTAAGACAAAGTTGAGCTCCTTTTGTTGTATTTACCACCTTTTACTTCACCTATTTCTCCATTTTAATTTGCTGCATTAAACTTTCCCTCTTTGCTTCTCCTCCTCTGGGAGCAAAACTCCTCCCCATTCTTTGGGTGTCACCCCCAAACCCCACATCTGCTCTGAAACCTCCCACTCCTTTGGAATGAGTCCCGAGGACGGGTCGGAACCTGTTCCCACAGCATCTCTTTTCCTCCCACACAACTTCCCGGGGCAGTTCCTGCCTCCTGCATTTCCCAGATGGGGCACAAGGGGGAAAAATTCTGGATTTTCCATGTATTTCATGGGAATAAGCTGTTAATTAAGCACCTTGCTTCATTTTCTATATTATTTTCCTTGCACATTCCTGTTCTTTTCAGGCATAAAACACTCTACTAAAACACAGGATAAAAAAAATGAAAGGCTGGGAATGAGTGGGAGCATTCAATACTCATTTAATAAATAAAACATATAAATTAAAATATTAAATTGTCACCCCAACTAAGAAAATTGAAGCTTCAGCAAGGAGACACCTATTTAATAATGTTTATTTCTTCAGGTTAAAGCCTCACATAAAAGCTTGGTGGAGCAGCAGAATATTTTTTAAGCTTGTAAATTAAAGGCATAACTCTGAAAATTAAAAAAAAAAAAGGCAAAAACCCCAAGGAGGGTATTTTCTCCCAAATCCCCTTAGGTTAAAAGGGAGCTTTGACCCACAAAGATGCTGAATTTAATCTCTGTATAAGCACATTCAAATGCTGGCAAAGTTTTAATAGTTAGAAATGAAAGTTCCCCTAATGGTCTCTAATCATCACTTGTTGGGACTCCAATTAAATTAGGGATGGGCAGATTAAAATAACAGCAATGGAGCCACACCAAGTTAACTTCCAACAAGGATTTTGCTTCCATAGTTATCCATGAATTCCCCCCCCAACCACTGCTGAATCCCCTGATTGTGCCACACATGCAAACCCAATCCTAAAACCTCACCCCCTGATTGTGCCACACATGCAAACCCAATCCTAAAATCTGTTCTCAGAGCTCTCCTAAAAGTTTTTCAGAACCGAGAGACTGAAATTCAGACTTTCCCCGTGAATTTAAAATCCCAAACCAGCCTTGCAAACCCCCTTGCTTTTATTTCCCCCCCTTTCCCCAGCCTAGAAATCACCTGCAGGGAGGTGCTCCCTAAAGTCTCTGCGAGCCAGAATATTTCTGCGGGGTTTAGTCCCGGTTTTAATGACAAATTCATGCAAAAGCCCAAGTAAACTCGAGGTTTTTAGAGCTGTTAAGTCAAACTTACTCAGGGAACCGGAGAGAACAAGTCAAGAGGAGCAGTAAAGGAAAGCCTGGTGTGGAGAGAGTATTTATACCCTCCCCTGGATGCCTGGAGGGGCTGAGACACCCTTTGTGTAAAGCACTTTAATTACCCATGAAGCAAACCCTGCTGCATTTATTCCTCCTGCACTGGCAGGGATTGTTTTGCTCCCTGCTTGTGATTATCTAAAGCTGAGTTGGGAAATAACGAAATGCAGATGAGCCCTTTTCATCTTGAAGTTTCCTGCTTTCCCTCCTCTGCTTTCATTAAGAGTTATAAATACACCGAGAATTAATGAGAGTTTGGGTGGCTTATCTTGGCCAAGACACCCCTGCAAAGGGAGGCTGGGATGTGTCAGCGGGGCAGGAGCCAAGGCTGAGCTTCCCTCTTGGAAGTACCAGTTGCCATTGAGTGTTTGTGTCCATGCCCTGATTAAACTCCAGAAAACCAGGGATTGTTTCCCATCTGATATAATATTGGTGAGGTTTCCAGGTGTGCTCTGCAGTCAGAGGAGGGATCTGGTGCACATTCCAAGGGCAAAGCCACCCCAGCCTTATCTGTTCAGTGATGCCGCCAGTGCTGAAGCTGGAAATGAGGAGCTGATGGAACCCTTTCCATGATTCCTCCTGAGTGAGGTCAGGGCAGCCCAAATCCCTGGGCTGGCACTGCCATTCCCAGCAAAGCACTGCCCTGTGTGACAAACTGGCAGATCTCGGAGGACTCCTTTGAAACCTCATTTCTTGGTGTCTCCAGAATATTCCCGAAAAGCTCCACAGCCCCGGGGGGGTTCAGGAGGTGCCTCACGGAATCAGGATGTGATGGATGTCATTCCAGAAG